CATATATTTATTTTACTAACAATTGCATAACTTTTGTTTCCTCTTTGAACAACGCTCTTGCTGTAATCACATCAGCACTACTTAAAGCCTATAGTAAAAATGGAATAAAAGTAAATATGGATGAAGTTAGTTTCAGATATTGAAAATATATATATATGTAGAACTATAACTATAGCGTTCATATTACTCCTTGATGATTTTGAGTTTATGATTATTTTTCAGCATGTCTTTGTCAATAAAATAATGGACATTATTTTATTAAAATTGACATATGGTCAAAGCTAAGTTTGAGAAGTTGTTTTAAGGAAATTCTTGGTTTTGAAAATGGTTTGCTACAGCATTATTTACTAGAAATAATCAATCACCAAGGACTTTCAATTTCACACACATGGTTACATTTAATCATTTGTCCTCAATCAGTGCATGTTTGACAACAAAATCTATTTTTACGTATTATACATCTGAGTGAATTCCGACTTGAGCGTAGCAATGAGTAATGAAAACGTTAGCGAATAAATAAGTCTCTAAATCACATAATATCAAAGCTAAACTACTTTCACTCAGTACGGATAGATATTAATCTTTCTGTTTTGCTTCACTGTGGTTGATTGATTAAATTAGAAGGACACTATGTCTAAGGCGATATATTCCAATAAAGAAATAATTATCATATCATTTTATATATGTTTTGAATATATATTTCACATTTTAAAGGTGTTGCTTCTAGTTTTAATCCAATAACTACAAATACTATTTTCTGCAATTATATTCTGGACGATAGATAAAAGATCAATTGATAAAATCATACTCTTCAGATTTTTAGTTGCATTAAGTACAAATTTCAAATTTAGCTCAAAATGTTATTGTAAGTTTTGGATAATATATATGAAAATTACAAACTTATTAGCGCTAGCAAAACTAACGTGAAAATCAACGCTATTTTATAGAAAAAATGTACAGGTTTCATTATAAAATTATTATTTACTCGGCAGAAAACACTATAAATGTTTGATTCCCATGATTAGCTAATTATTGCTAGAGTGATATTAAGTAATTCCTATAGTTTCTTTGAATAATGAATCAGTTGATTTAAAACATTGTATATCATTCGGTATGGAATTCAAGTAACAAAATATGTCACCAGATTTTTCTTGATGGCAAGACTCGTCAATCAAACTTGGTGAGTGATAAAGAGGCATATTGATGCAATTACTTGTAAGTATGTTTGTATCAATATTGTAATGTGATAAGTATGAAATCTGTCGAAAAAACATATTTCCAAATATGCACAAAAACATGTGGTTAGTTCTTTATATTGTTTGAAACCAGTCAGTTCTAAACTACTGGGTACATGGGTGTCCAATATTATGTTATTTGTCCAGATACTACCTATTTTGTCTGTATTCTTAGATCTTTTAGAGGAAGACTTTTTTGTTTATTAATAAAGTGAACATTCCTTAAATTCAAAACTACATTCTAATATTACGAAAAGTGTTCACCGATGTTAAATCGTTTAGAATACGTGCATGTAGCTAAGACATTTAGACATTTTCACACTTCAGGGATATTTATTTCTGTAATATATGAATAATTTATTTGTGATATTAGTTATTAATTTTGATTGATGATATGTCACATTTAAGAAAATCAATCAGAGCTAATGACTTTTCAATTAAGAGCCAGATTTGTGTTTAAACTAATAAGAGTTACGTTGTTAATTTTGAACTTTTTTATCATATCAGATGTATGAGAGTCTCGATCCTGCTTTTTCTATACATATTTCCTTACATTTTCCTGGAAAGATAAAACTGTTAGAAAAACCTAGAAACATCCTCTAAGCATTTAATAACCTCCTAAGACAGTTAATGATAATATTTTACTCGTGAAGACGTTAAAGAAAATTTCATTATGAAGATAATACTCTGCTTAGAAAACAGAGTGATTGTATGCTATACAAAACTGCAATTAACTAGAGCACGATATATTTTAATGTAAACCATTTTATGTTCCATTAAAAAGTTAGGCTAACTAGAGCATGATATAGGTTTATAGCATTAACGAAATGTGAAAATAAAGAAGTAAAGACAAAATTTGACAAAACTAATTTAGAAAGTACCTTAGATGTTTAAAATATCTTATTATATTTCTAGACAGAAAAAAAACCCATAAGAACAGTAATTATCCAACAAGTAATTATTATTATAATCTGTACAATAAGCCCCCTAGTGACATAGACGAATGTCTGCGGACTTACACCGCTAAAAACCGGGTTTCGATACCCGTGGTTAACAGTGTACAGTTAGCACATTGTGTAGCTTTGTGCTTAATTACAAACAAACAAACTCTACAATAAAAAAACGCTATACTGAATAAAGTAGTTAAAACTATATATATATATATATATTGTTTATAATCTTTATCTTCTACAGAAGTGAAAATTAGTGTGTATTAGAACAAAAACACTTTTTCAAATAGCATATTAAATAATGTGTTATATATTTTGGATGCAGTTTTCAAGCGAATGAATAAACGGTAGCTAATAATAATGTAAAAACTTTAACAAACATGACTATGATTATTTCAGAACCAGCTGCCCAGACAGTTTTAATTTATTGCCTACTGATTACTCCATTAATACAAGTAAGAATAGAAAGAAACCGCTGATTATGGTTATGAAACAAATGGAAAAGCGAAAATATATAAGTTTGACTGCTATAATCACTTTTTTTGTTTTCTATTGTATGAACTTTTAAATAAAGATGATTTTAGTAAATTATAAAAAAGGTGTGTACGAATATATAGCTATCTAGCAGGAATTGTTCGAATAATAAGTTAAGAGGATTAATTTGTGATACTTTATTATTAACTGATTTATTTTTTCCAGGTTATTGAAGGTCTGGATGACCTGGTGGTTACGACGTTAGATTCACAATTTGTGGGTAACGGGTTCTAAGCACAACACTGAACATGCTCCCCATTCCTTGTGAACGTTGTCATGTTACGGCCAATTACATTATTCGTTGGTAAAGAGTTGGTGGTATAAGCTATTGGCCGGTTCCATTTGTCTGTGATCGGCAACTCAAAATTAGGGACGGCGGTAGACAGCTATGATAGCTTTGCCATAAATCAAACAAACAACCCAGTTGTTTAAATCCACTATATTTTTCTATAATTCGAAATTTGATAAAATAGTGCTACATAAAAGAATGATTATTATATTAATCTGCAAAATTTTGTCGGTAATTTTCTAGTATCTATTTCAATAAGCAAATGTTTTAAGCCTCGAGTGTGGTTGTGGTTGAGCCTTTGATTACTTTGCACAATAAAAAGCTTTTGAAGAGTGATGAAAATCATAATGCTCCTTCATTTACTTTTTTCTTCATCTTTCCATTTTCAAAACGATACCCTTTCTCTGATGAACACTGTAATCTTTAAACGACGTTATTGATCCACTTTTAAATGATACAGTTTGATTTTACTATGAAAGTGTTCACTGAAAAAAGACAAAATTCACTAAAATCTGAACCTTTAATTTTACTTTTCTCTAATAATTGCTATTACACAACAGCAGTAAAAGTAAACACCAGAAGTTCGTCAAAATGAACTATAGCTGGCCATTTGAATACAGACGTAAGAAATGAATAGTCTGTCAAAACTATTAATTGTTAGTAACTAACATTCACACATTAGAGAGAATTTGTTAGATTATAGAGTCACTTTCTTGGTCAAGTGGTTCAGTGAAGCAAGTTATTGTTAGGACTAAGAAATACATCCAGGAAATGTAAATTCTGTTCCGGCAGGTTACTGAAACTTTTCGAAAAAAAGTACATTTATTGAAATGTAAAGTTACTATTAATTACTATTCTGACATCAGTATGCCACCTAGGGATATAAGTTAAAAGAAACTGAAACGAAGGAAACTGATATATTGTTAGGACTAAGAAATACATCCAGTACATTTATTGAAATGTAAAGTTACTATTAATTACTATTCTGACATCAGTATGCCACCTAGGGATATAAGTTAAAAGAAACTGATATATCTCGCTAGTAGTTTTAGTTCTCGTATAGGTATACAATATACAGTTAATGATAAATTTGCATAAAATTGAAATAAAGGTTACCAAAAGGAACAAGAAACAAGATAGCTTTCTATTAAGAACGCGTTTGATCCATTTACCGAAGGTCTCTGAGCTTATGTGAGGAAATATATGAAATGCAATTAATTTCTAAACATATCGTAAGAGGTTTCAAAATCAACAACTATAAAACTATAGCAAAATTCTGCATAGCTTACTATATAACTGTACGAATGAGGTTTAGCTATAATTTTGTAAATATAGATTATTAGGTAAAATTGTTAAAACTTGCAACAACGTATGGTATACAAGTACGTAAATCGAACGAACTTTATGACTATTATTTACTGGAGATCTAATTCTATAATGTATGTATTAGCAAAATTACAAACAGTCAATATAGGTGTACATTAACTGTTATGTTTTTACTGTAATAGTTATGTATTATATTAACTATGATGAGCATCCGTTTTTATAATAGTATTTTTTATTGAAAATTTACTTATTTATGTGGTATTTACCAATATTATAACGTATTTAATATTCTAATTCTTGGTACAAATGTTATACATTTTGTTAGGGTACTCCAGTTAATTATTTTTGATTCTTTCATAAATTCCGTAATAAACATCCCAGATAAAGAGTAATATTCATTTTCTACATTTGAATTCACTTACATGATCCCTGGAAAATATGAACATTATTAATTACAGGAAAAGAAATAAAACACTTAAAACTCCACTTTTTTGCATAGAAAAACAAAACGGATTTCCTATTTTAATATAATCTCTGCGTCCTTTATCTGAAATATACGCCCTCTGTACGATGGGCGGTCTTAACATAGATTGATCGAATACAGGATACATAAAGTGTTCCCGTGGTGCTACATAGACAGTTCAGAGCTTGTGTACATCGGTAACTCTCTTTGAACAAGCAAGACTCCATTACCTATAATATGTATACAGAACTGCAGTACTCCCAATAGTTAATATGCTGGGATCGTTTACACGAATTTCTTAATTTATTCAATGACTGGTTATCTTAAGACCAATGTATACAATATGATGTTGTTTATAACTCTTCGCGATTCTTCCTAGAAATCGTAAACATGGATCTTCACTCGACTACACAGAGAATTTGAAATCGTTTAATGTTTTCATCCCTAAAAGGTATGACAAAACATTTTATTATCTATCTCCATTATCTTATGTTTTCCTTCAATCATAAAACATTTTTATTAATTGCTATTTAATTTTCAAATATGTTTTCATTTTAAACAGAGGAAAATAGTGTCCTTTTCACATTAAAAAGCAGACCTAAAATTCAATACTTAATGAGGCTGACTAGGCCTTTTGGTTCAATACTGAACACTGAAGAATAATCAAGATGTATTCTTTAATTATCAGCATTATAGTTTCTTCAGCTGACCCGTTGATTTTGAATTTGATGGTAAGCACACACCATTGATGTATGATTGTCAACAAAAGATGTTGAATGGAGTATCATGTTCAAAAAGCATTAAAAACTTATCGCAACAACACAGTGCCCGGGATTTCGACGTCATTGTTGTCAACAGAAGCGACCTGTATATTAATTATTTATCAGATCAACATTATTCAACAAACTGATTCAGCATCATTAATTTGTAAAATATAGGTCTGCATTAAGAAAACCTATGTATCTTTAATAGTGAGAGTAATTGACTGGTGAAATAATGCATTTTAATATCTATAACTAGGAACGTACGAAAAATATATTTACTTAGCTACATTGATTGTCAGGTTGATTTTTGGTTTCACTCTAAGCGCATAGCTTGCTTTGATCGGAAGTTAATTCTGGGGTAAGAGAGTTTTACTAAACAACATATATTTTCAATTGCATTCTTTATGTATACTTCTTTAATGAAACTTTATATTTGAAAAGTTCTTTAGCCCATTATAAATAAATGCAGTTACATTTTATGAAAACAAGTCAAAGTAGAGATTCAAGTACTCGACATTTTTTATCGCAAAAGTTTCTCAACGTTACTCATGCCTCTCAAACAATGACAGCAAAGTAATCTTATCACTGTTAAGTAAGTTATTCATCTTTAATAAATATCAGTAATGAACAGTACTTATTAAACTATTTCTAAGTTTTACATTACGAAACAACCAATAACATAAAATATTATTTCATATTTATCCATATTTCTCTATTATTCTTACTTTGGAACTAGTTATTTCGATAATGCACATGTTTTGCATTTCCACAGCTTTAGAAATGTATTCTAGAACTAGTTCACAAGTAAATTAATTGTATATTACAAAGTTGGAAGTTCATTCTGTGAGAAGATGTAATGCTCTCAAGATTTCGTGCTGTAGTATATGAGAATACTATAGAAAGAATGATACATTAGAAATTTTAATTCAAACGTTCTAGTCTAACAATTTTGATTGTACCTAATTTATTTTTGGATTGTAAAATATAATAAATTATGTTCTTCTATATAACTGGTCTTGTACATTTTAATATTTGTATCCATCCAAATTTTTATTTATATAGAAGTTTTTGTACGCTGTATCACTATAACTACCACTATTGATTAAGAAAATTAAGCATTATATCTAGAGTATAGATCAATAAAAAAACTATATCATTTATTCGTTATGTGAAATATCAATAATAAAAACATATGTTATAGTTATATATTTTACTCTCATATACCCAACAGTTCCATAAGAAGAAAAATAACTCAACTTGCAATTCATTTTACAGACATTATTACATAAGCCAAACTACAAAGAATATCATGAAATGGGGAAAAGATGGCGCAAAGAAAACATTATACATGCTGGATATGGGCCAGCTTTAACGATGTCTCTTTATTGGTATAAAACCAAGAGTGATGACCTTACATCTTGTCTAGTTAAACTCCAAAAATATTTAAGTCATGTAAGAGTGAATTATTATACTCATGATACTTTCAGAAATATTGTTTTAGATGTTGCAAATCTCACAGGCTGATTTCTTTTTCGAAAATGAAAATAAATAATCCAAAATAACTTGTTATATTACAGTTGCAATACGGTTAAGAATTATTTAAGTGAAAGTCAATAGATTCGAAGAACTTTGATCATTGCCAAAAATAATAAAAAATACTATGTATCTATACATGTAAAGCAGAAAATATGTGTCTGTCTGTTTGTCCATGATCTAACTACTCATTGGTTGCTCGGCCAATCTAAACCAAACTCTGGAGGATGATAGTCTTAAACAAGGGGCATGTTACTGGGGGTCACAACCCTCTCCACCCCTATTTGTACTGTTATTGAGCGTTCAGTATCTTTGACGTACGTTAATGTAAACTACATTCATAGATGGCACCACGTCCTCACACCAAAAACAAAAATCTATTAAATCCATATATGTATATACAGAAAGCACAAAATCTGTGTGTCTGTCTGTTTGTCCTTTTCTAACTACTCCTAGGTGGTTGGGCATATCTTAACCAAACTGTATAGGATGGTAGTTTGGAACAAGGGGCAGGTTAGTGGGAGGTTCACAACCCATTATTGGTGTCATTGAACATTTATTATATTTGCCGTAAGTTAACGTTAACTACATTCATAGATAGCGCCAAATAGCTCGATGTGCTTTGTTATAAAAACACACACACACATATACATTAAATTTTCTATAACACAACATTCACACAGTATGGGGAGGGTACACAAACACCTTGTATATCTCAAAGAGTGCGCTAGCACTCTCTTTGGCCGAATACAATGGAAAAAAAAGGCCGACACTAATACAAAAACAGTAATACAGAAACTCGGATGAAGTTAATACGACAACAGTCACCATAACGTTGAGATGAAAAACCGTTTCTTGAGTTCCATAAGAAACTTCTGCGGCCAATGACCGTCAATTAATTGATAACATGAAAAATGTGGAAGGACATTAAGAGGTGGGTGTTGAAAGCGGGTAACAGAAAAGCACCCATACCGCCACTATTTTTTCCGCTACCTCTTCGCACAACGTCACCCTGACCATCGTACAGTGAATACGATGTTTTAAGTATAAGGATAGAGAGTTCTTAAAGCTTATACAAAACGTTTAGTGAGATAATAATGAATAGTGTAAGAATATGTAATGTTATGAATAAAGTGTGTGAAAGTTAGGATTTTTGCGTAATTTATCATAGCATCCACCTTCCACATTTTTTTAAGTTCATAATCCGCTCAAAGAATGGGTACCTCAGCTTGTACGCAATAATCTAGATTGTAACCACACTCTTAGATAATGTTATTTTAGTTGAAAAAGAGAAAGCAACTTTTCAAATGTCGTCGCTATTTATAACCATTAGAATCGTCTTTTTTCTAAGCCTGAAAGATTTTCTGTGGAATATTTTTCCAAAAGAAAATAAATTGCAGCACTGTAATAAACTTATTCACCATTACATTAATATTTATGTAAAAAAAAATTTATCTTTGTGTTATGGAAACCATAAGCATTACAAATTTTTACTCATATGCATTCTTTTAAATGTGGTAACCCATGATATAATCTAAATAATATTTTTCGTAATATTTCCTATGATCAATTTCTTTTTAAGCACATAGCTACACAATGAGCTATCGTAATGTGACTACCACGCGAGTCGAAAGCCGGAATTCAGTTATTAGCCATCAAGCTTGCCGCTGAGCCAATGAGAAACTCTTATATCTCAAATGTTTCTAACTGTATTATGGGAAATGATAAATGTTCCAAACAAATTTTAAGAGCTATTTATGACCTTCTAGTCGAGGTGTTTTATATCGTCTTTAGAAAGAACAAAAGTCGAATCCATACTTATCATATTGAATTGGTTTTTTAGCTCGTATAATGAGGGAAGACAATGTACTGATCATTGAAATATATGTAACTGTTCAGTTTTCAAAAGTTTAAATCAGTACATATTGTCAAACCAAACGTGTCGCGGTAAAGTAACTATAGCTATCAATTTTCAGGATTGTGATGCAAATCCAAAACCAATCATTTTCCTAAATTTTTGGAGACTTTGTTATATTCATTGTGACTACACGTAAATGAAACAATATTTGAAGCATACTGTGAACTGTAGGAAATTGGTACTTTGGGTAGTCTGGACAAGTTACACATTGTTCTCAAAATGTTTTGTTTGTTTTATTGGGAATGCAACTCGACTAAACTAGAAAGTTGAAAACTAGTCGCACACCTTCGAAAATATTGATAGATACTGTGATTATGGAGTAAAACAGTTGAGGAATTCCACTGTTATTGTCGTGTACAAATTATGAAGAATGGTGATATGGAAAGAGTGTTACAGTGAAGACTGCATAGCGCATAATGAGTATATGATTCATCTAAAATGTTCATAAACATTAATAAATCTTTAACGAAATACATTACAAGGACCATGACACAATTCTTTAATCAGTAATCCGTTGCCCAATGTGTTATCCTAACAGCGTAATGATCCTTGTTGTAATAAATATATCACTAATGCTTAATTTTTAAGCTACAGTATCAATGTATTAGAAGAGTTTACTCAGATCCAAGCCATTAAAAATAATTTAGACCATCTGGCGGGAATACTCTGAAAAGATAGACATGGCTTTCCATTCTTTATAAATTGACTGAACAATAAAGACAAAATGTAACAGACGCTCGTCGGGACCAACTGATTCCACGTGACGAAGAATAGCAGAAAGCGCTCATTAAACTCTGCCTCTATGATTGTACGTTTGAATATTTTATGGCGGGACAAGTCTGAATAAAATATGGAGAATACATCCATAAGCTAAAGCATACTTAAAAACAAAATAATACCAGCAGTATAATATAGCTCAATTCTTAGCCAACATTTCCATAACGTATATCATTTTCGAAAGATGCAAGTTTGAGTTTCTTTTCTTTTCTAATGCAATGTAAGAGAAAGTGCGAGGCTTATGAATATAACATGCAGTAACAATCTATGATACATCAAACTTTTTCTCGTATGAATATGTTGTCTTTTCACTTAATATCAAGACCCATTACAAAATGAAAGATGTCATTGTGAAAATGTTTACATTTAATTCATGGCCGTTCTGCTATAGTCAAGAAAATGAGTAAATTTAACTACTTATTATCTCATTAAAATTAGTGTTATTAGAAACAAAAACAA